GTATGAATTTGGGAGAGACGAATCGGCGCCGGAAAACAGCGGGTTGCTTGACGTGGTATTGATGGAGTCTAAAGCTCTGTGCCGGAACGGGAAGCAGTCGAAGGAAGAGAGCTCCTCCGGCGCGGCGGAGTTCGAAAGAGGAAAACAGACGACGGAGGAAGAAGAAGCAAATAATTTATATGTAGAATCAGTTTTAGGAAGCAGCGGYGGAGAACCGACCGCCGAAAATCATTCCGACGAGTTCAGCTCCTCTCATTCTTCAACTCGTAAGTTACTCAAAAACCTTCAACTACATGATAAATAAACAAACAGGGGAACCACAAATTCTAATCTTTGTATAAATATATAAATAAGATTTGATTATAAGTCTCTAATGTTCTTGTTTGAGAGATATACCTGAAAGTTTGAAAAATAACTTGAACTTTCATTTGTGTGTTGAATAGTATTTTAATAACTATTTGAACCAAATTTATAGGGAAAAGACCGAGAATAGAACCATTGGAAGAGATGGAATCAATGGTAGACGACGACTTAATGAGCCTGCTCAACAACTTCCCGTCGACAATGCCAGTACCGGAGTGGTATCCGGGCGGTGACGACGACCTAGGCAGCAATACATACAACGGGCCATCGTTGTGCGAGTCGAATGGCAATGCGGAGGTGGACGAGCAGCGGCAGAACGGGGGTTCGCCGTCGTCACCAGCGCTCGAGTGGAGCCTGGGCTCATCTTGTTGGAACAACATGCCTGGGATTTGCTAGGGGATCAGCTTCCATTACAGTCCTCCTATTCCTTCAACAAGGCAAATTGGATCAAAGTTATGAACTTTGTGTGTGAGGTTCATAGGGTTGTTGGTTATATTGGGGTTGGTTTATGTGTGTTCAATCTTTTTTTCATTTGGGTTTTACAAATATGCTAGTTTGAAGGTCTTGTGTGCATTGGGTAGTTTATACATATCAAAAAACAAAAAAACAAAAAAAGAAAAAAAAAACTTAACTTGTAATGCATGTTGTTGTGTATATATAGTTAAAATGTTGTAGTTTTAGCTTTAGAAAGTATCAAAATTTCAAACAATGGGACTTGGTTTGTTGTATAATATTTTCCTTCTTGACCAAATTTTGACACAACTCCATAGAAATATGATAAATTAATGAGTGTTAAAGAAAAAGGTTTACCCATAATCTCAAGTCCTAAATGAAATTTTCAACTCAACTATCACTCTACTAATAGATTCTTGATTCTTGAAGTGTTAAATAAATTCAACAAACTTTCAAGATTATATAGGTTGCTGAAGTTTAMAAAATAATGATTAGAAATTCTAAATTTTCAATTTCGTGTGTAGCTTGTTAGATATTTTTTAAAAGGATAATATATACGTAAGAAATGAAGTGACGAGAATTTCTCTCCAGTGTCAAAAACATGTTACGATCTTGTTGGTTTACAATATTATGTGAAAACAAACTTCCATTTTCTCAAAGATTAGAGATGGAATTGGTACTATATCTGTCTTTTGATATTTCAATTAAGCAGTCATTTTTTTTGGATTTGTGGTGTGCTCTATTGCTCTAAATGTAAGCAATGGAAGCGTCACTATCTTTATATGCTTTCGTTGTTCTAGTGTATTTTTGTTACCATTGAAGCTATGGTTAGCATTTTTGTATTTAGGAGTTTTAACGTTGACTGTCGAATAAACCTTCATTCTTTTATAGGGTTAAGTAGGCCTTCACTTTTTTTTTTTTAATTGGTAGGAGGGAGAAACACMCGCAAACATGAGAGAATAGAGACATTTATTTTTCTACAAAAAGTACCTATAAAAAATTTAGTAGTGAGTAYGAAGAATTTCGTGCTACCCAATCAATATAGATAAGTATTCTTTTTTTTAAACTTCACGACCTATTACCCACAAAATAAAAARTTTCATAGACCTATTAGATACAATATTGAAACTTCATAAACATATTAGACACAAGTCTAAATGTACGTTTAAAACTAAAGGTGTTGAATCTCTCTTTTTTCTCTCCGTAAAAATTAGTTCGGTATCTCTTGACATTTTGTTGTCCACATTAGAAACAAATTTCCCAAATATTTGCATTTACAAGTGCCATCTAAACTTAGAACCAAAAGAACATAAGAAGAATTGGCAAATTTAGAACATATAGATTTCTGTCAATTGTGTGCATGTGGATGAGTTCTTCATCTTTTTTTTTTCATGTGAAAAAAAAAGGAAGAAAAAAGAATGTGAGAACAAAAATTATAAGTAATTAATGAGATTGGATTGCTTTATTAATTTGGGAGTCACCACCCTCCTCGCTAAATGCCAGAAAAATGAATTCCAAATTGTAGAAAATGGTGAGAATTGTTTTGGAGTGGTCTGAATGGTCAATGCCCCGCCGCAACCATGCATTATATTTAGCTTTTTGAAGAGAATAATAATGATCTCATTCAAACACAAAGTTGGTTGTTTGTAGACGGTTAAAATATTGGGAATCAACTTCAAAGTTTAAACCTCTACTCACATATTTGTAACGTTAATGTTATTTTCTTTATGATTAATTTTACCTATCTCATTTTTATCTGTTTTAACATTTCCCGACCTCTAAATCAATTTTCTCTRTTATGGGATAAAATCAAGATTGACACATGAACCACTCCTGCGAGCTAGGCGCTGCTATACTTGGCACTTGAGTTTGAGCTGCTGAGCCGAGGAGAAAAGACACCTATCACATGATRAGTGGGTCAACTCAGTCCATTCCTCTAGAAGAGTTCGCCCGACAAGATACCTACGACATTATGCAAATAGACAATACTGCATTTAGGGTATCCTTATTGTCGAAAGTTCCTTTTTCTTACGAGTACAAACCTTGACCACCTAAGCTCGCATCCCAAATCTCTCTCCCATATAAAAATTAGAGTCAAACTCTTCTCAAAGGTACGCAACATCGTCACTTAACTTCTAGTTCGCCACTTCAGTTTCGTAGTACATTTGGCTACGCATCACATCAATGTTAGATTATGATGCTCAAGTATCACCTCAGACGAACGAGTCTCCCTTACACCATCCTAGATTGGCGAGGCTCCTAGATCGGACTTACTCTACCACGTCACCTAATTAATTGTCCAGAATCTAACATCAACGCTCTCAATAAAGTTAGATGCAGAGCTTTGATATAAACACACATTCACTAGACTTTATCATCTAAATCATCACTAATATATAATAGGTATTGTCTCATGATTAATTTGATAAGACATACTCTAACGTATCAAATTAAATCCCAACAAAATCATGAAATTGATTATTATGTACTATATTATAGTACTAAATCGAAAAAATAATAATTTATGAAAAGTGTAGACATTTGTGTGAACAACTTGAAGCAACATGGCTTCAAAAGAGAGACGACCCTACCTGAACAACTCTTAGTAGTGTTTATGTTTTTAGATTGATGTGAGATTATGTTTAAAATATATTTAGGCATATGTTAGAAATGGCATTTGCAAAGGGTAAACAAAGATTGCATGTGGAATTGGTGAAGTGTTGGTCATGCCACCCCATTTCAAGCCATTGTTTACTCCTGCACTAACCTTGTGTCCCCTTAGCTCGACCTTCACTTGCAACTTAAACTTCCCAAATGCATTCTCTTTTTCCGCTCGTTTATTGGGTGACCATAAGGACAATTCCATTTGTATTTAGCCCACAAGTTTTATACGTAACTTTCACCAAACAAATATCCTTTTTAATTCACCTCTAAACAATTGTTATATTCTCCCACCAATTGGCTACTCGTGGTGCTCCGGATATCGTAGCTTATTAGTTTTAATATTAGATTAAGTTATGAGTTCAAACCTTTATAATTTATTTCTTTCTCCTATTCACGTTAATAATTTACATTTTAGATTTTGCTAGCGAAATTAATATTTGAATAATGGACTTAAAAGGTTTAAGATAAATAAGTTAATGAGAATCGGTTGAAATTGTTACAATGGTGGATTATATTCCTCAAAATGAAACTAACCACTCAAATCTTCCTTAATTAAAAAAAAAAAAAAGTGTTTTAATGGTAATGGGCTGGTTCAAAATTAAAAGGATGGCCCAATCATAGTTGGGCCACTTTCCATGGCTTAATAGGCTGCGGCCCATACAATGATAGGCTGACTCATTTTGTGCAACCCCTTGTCCGTTCCACCGAGTCCAGTGAGTCGCTTGGGCCTCAAGCCAGTGAATATTTTTCCTTTATTTATTTATTTATTATTATTTTTTCTTTTGAGACAGTTCAACCCGTGTATATACATGTCACTTTTTTTTTTCTTTGATAGCTGTATACGTCAAATTCTGGATTGCCAGTACCAACATACTCCACAAAATATGTATGCACATAGAATCTATTACATTAACTTTTCTTTTTTCGTATAATCAATATAGGAATTTGAATCAACTCTTTATCGGAGACATGTATTGATTACGGTTGAGCTAAGTTCATGTTTATAATTATAGTTATATTACTATTGTCAATTCCATTAACTTTTTAATTTATAACAAAATTGAATGATATTATCGTTATTTGAGTTGTAATTTTAAATAGGTCATTAATTAATTACAACGAATAAAGTATTCTAGTAATTACATGATAGTTAAGGTTGGTTTTAGGTATTAAAAAAAATCACGACTGAATTTTCCACCATCTTAAAATTTATTTACATGAGTATAGTTCATAATTTGTACATGTTTATTCGAAGTCGGAAGTTCGATTCTCCATATCAATTTGGTTGATGTAATTATTTATTTCAATTATAGACCATATTTGGTGATTATCAAATAATTTACAATTTTATCAAGATATATTTATATTAGACATGATAAAAAGGATGAGTTGGCTTCCACCAAGTATTTTCGAATGCCAAATTAAGTAATTGAAGTTAATGTTTGAGTTTGGTTAAAAATGGATAAAATCGAGTGGCTTTTGAGTGCAGGAGAAAGATGTTTGGGTGGAAAATGGGTGGCTTCAGATATTAGGGTTTTTGAAGATATACAAATAACACACTCTCTTTTCTTCAACATGCTTTCAAATTTCAACCTACCCAAAAACTTAACTTTTTTACCCACCTCAATAATCTCTGATTCAATCGATTTCTATCATCCAATTTTCGTGGGAACGATTAACGAACTATAATTTAACCGATCAAATTAAAATTAAACTCAAATTATATCCAAATCTCTAAACAAAACTCGAAAAAAGAGGACATTCATATGTAGGAACTCCAATTTTAATTTCATTGTGCCTATTAGGCACCATCATTAATCATCATATATGTTTTCTTTTCTTAGCATTTTAATTTATCAAAACATGGCTTGAATAATCTTAGTAAACTTTTTGAAGAGAATAATGATCTCATTCGCAGAGGCAGGTGGGATTTAATTTCACATTTCATCCACCGATATATGTTGTTGGATCTTTCCTTTTACCTTTATGTAACTATGAGCCAATTTAGACGGTTCAAATATTAGGAATTAAGTTGATAGTTTAAACCTCTGCCCCATGTTTGTAACATTAAGATTGATTTTTTTTTTTTTTTATGATTAATTTTACCTCTCATTTCTACCCATTTTAACATGTTCCGAACTCTAGATCTATTCTCTCTATTATGGGATAAAATAAAGACGGACACATGAACCACTGCTACGAGACCATTAGACTTGCACTTGAGCTTGAGCTACTGAGGCGAAGAGGAAAGGCACCATTCTTGTTTGGTTCAATATATATATTAGGATTTTTGAAGATATACAAATAAGACACTCTTTTTTTCTTCAACATGATTTTAATCTAATCAAAAAAAAATTTTATACACCTCAATAATCTCTAATACGGTCAATTTATTCTCATCATCTCTCCATCTGCAGAGATATCTCTCATAAAAATGGAAACAATTTTTAAAGATTTAATAGATTTTTTTAAGACCATAATTCAACCGATCAAATAGAAATTAAACTCAAACTATATCAAAAGCTAGTGCCCAAAAACAGGACATTCATATGTATGAACTCATATTTATTAATTTTTATTTTCTAAAATTAATTTATTTTACATTCAATATGACACCCAACAATAATGTCATTAATACTATAACCCAACAAAAACAAAACACATCAAAACCTCCCCAATGTGAGGGAAGCTTTTTTTTATCATATTTTTCACTTGCCGTTGCAGACACACATTAAATAGAAGAACAGTTAACAATATGGAGCAGCTGCAGAAAATGTTTCAAAAATCACTACTAAAACCTGCAAAACCGCAGAATACCCTAAACCCTAAATCCTAATCTTAGTCCTAGTCCTACTAACACGAAACCAAAAATTATATAACCAATACTGAATGCTGATCTCCTTGTTCTTTTTTCGTCTAATAATCGTTTGATATAGATATAAAATAACGTACATTTACGGTAGCTACATCGTTTCAGCCTCTGAAATAATCTATAGGGTTTAGGAATAAGAAGTAAGAAAGCAAAAATAGGTAGTGTTTCTCTCTCTAAACCCATAATCTTTAAATGCAGCATTAAAAGCAGCAGATATTGTATGTATCCGTGAGCTTTTTCACGATTCTTGTTTGTTGTCGACTTTAATAAACCCAACCCCCTCTGCAACTTGGTTGTTAAGCCCCTTAAATGCGACATGTCGGCTGCTGTTTCCTCATCCCCCCTCCCTTTTCTTAAACCCCCCCATTTTTTCCTTCCCAAACCCCCATTTTATTTTCTCTCTTCTCTTCTCTTCTCTTCTGGGTTTCTTTTCTTTTCTCGGTTTTCTGTTTGGTTGATGAGAAAATTCTTCATCGGACGTACGGGATATTGGTGCGGTTCAATAAGAAAGCAGCACCCAAAGAATGCGTTTGGGTTGTGTTTTTTGATTGAGCCGTGCCAATATCACGTGCCACCTTCTTCTTCTTCCCGTCCTTTAAATGTTCATTGCATGTCCATTGATTAATATCCCTCACCCCAAAGGTACGTAATCTTAAACCCATATCACCTTTCCCTTTCCTACTTCCAAAGAAAAGAAAAAAATAATTGTTTTTCTTGGTATAAAAAGAAAAACAATTATATTTCTGTAAAAATGTAGTTTTTTCCTAAAAAGACATTCATTAAATATTAAATACTTACCTTGTTTACCCGTGAGTATATACTCTTTAGTCTTTATTGACATTTTAACTTTTTTTAATGTGTGTTATTTTCATTTTTTTTAAATATGTTATAGGTTCTACTTCATATATCCATTAAATGTAATAACAATAAYCCACATTGATTAGAATAGGGGATGGATTAGTGTCTAGACAAGTATTTTTTTTGGTATAAGTGACTATTGATCTCTAGATATATATTGATTGGTTTTTGTTTCTCTGAATATTTTTCSGTTTTAGATATTTTAATGTCCATTTTTATGTCAATATGAGCTCACSTTAGCAGTAAATGGTATCCATTTCTGACCAAAACGCTATGAGTTTGAATTCCCTACTCCCACCAACATACTAAAAAAAATCGTCTTTTTATTGTTTATTTTTAAGACTCGGTTTGATAACTATTTAATTTTTTATTCTCTATTTTTAAAATTAAGTTAGGAAATATTACTTTCAATGATGTGTCCCTTAATTTTTTTTAATATAACTTAAATATTTTCAAAATCTAGACTAATTTTGAAATATATATATATAATCTTACTTGTATTTTTTAAAATTACTTTAAGAATTCAAATATATTTTGAAGAGAGTTGAAAAACTAATTAATGAAATTGTACAAAAACAAGCATAGTTTTAGAAAGAAAAAAAAAACTTAAAAACAAAATAGATATGAAACAACACCTAAATGATTTAAAACCAGCACAGCTATTTGGAATTTTTACATAATAGTAACTAATATAGTAAAATAATTAGTACTCCCAATTACTGTGTTTCTTTTTCTTTTTTGGTAATTTTACGCTATCTCACCATTAATTAAAAAAAAAACTATCAGACAAACATGTAGAGTCAAACTAATGTTTACCACTATATAAATTTCAAAAAAATATATATACATACATACTTACAACTATATATATGCGCCATGATTATTTGGGTAAGATATTCTTTTAAATTGCATGCTAATAATTTATTGAGAGTATTGATAGACATGCACTAAGAAATGTCTATCTATGTATCTCTTTCATTGTGCCCATTCGCACCATTATAATATTAATCATCATACATGTTTTCTTTTCTTAGCATTTTAATTTATCAAAACATTACTTTAAAATTATCTTATATATGTGTGTGATTATTCATATATAGAAATATCTTGTGCATTTCCCTTTAATTATTATTATCCAGCTTTTTATTTTCAAGTTCAATAACATAAGCACGTGAGAGGTCCTAACTTTCCGTCTTTCAATAAAATATACATATCCAGTTGAAATATATTCAAGTTGGCATAAAAAAGAATGGTCAATCCTAAAAAGGAGACTTTGATATAACTTATTAAAACTTTTTTTACCAGTAGTTGGGTGAAAATATTGTTGAGAAAGTGAATATCATAGGTAAAAATTTCACATCATTATGATAGACGATAAGACTTTAGTATTTGAGAAACTTGCTCCCAATAAGATTCTTAAAGAGAGAAATTTTGAAAATTTTAGTTGCAATTGTATTTATTTTGGGCTTGAATACCATGAAATTCTGACAGAATGGTGATCTAAAAGCCACAAAGAATGGTGGTATTGGCGCCTTTCTCTTGCTTTTTTTCAGCTGCTACTCTGGCTATACTCTCTTGAGCTAATATTGAGTTGCCATGAACAGCATTCTCTCTTTTCTTTTCTCTCTCCTCTTTTTTTTTACTCTCTCTCTCTGTACTGTGATAATACAATACACATTCTATACCGGTACAAAAACCGAACTTGCGGGCTCGTAAGACCTTCCCGAGTTCGGAAGGAGAAGTGAGGCGAGCTGCATTTTAGAAGGTGGCACTCCATAATGTATTCTCGCCTTCTCCGCATCGACGATGGACTTCCTTAATCCGCTCGGCAGACCTGCAGATCCCGCTGCAACTCCAGTCGAACGAAGCGACGCAGATGTTGCCTGCTTGTGCCTTCCATTCACAATCTGCACCAAATAGTTACAACTTCCAGTTATAGGTTTTTAACTTTTCAGAGCTCTGCATAGATCAATGGATGGGAAACAGGCCGTGTTTGAATCAAGATGATCAGTCGACAGAAGAAAGTTTTCGTGAAAACGTGAATTTACCGGGCGGAGTTCCACAGCAAAGTCTCCGGTCGTCGATGTGCTCCACGTCGAGTCCAATGAACCAAGATCCCAAGGAAACATCTTCATTGGCATACTTGTGGAGAACATGCCTGAGATTGCACACAATTATCATTCATTACCATCACATATATACAGTTTTGGCAGACCAAATTTGTGGGGGTATCAATTGCGAGATCTGTAGTATCGAACAAAAACGGATAGATGCTTACTGGTTTATAGAAATGTAGGTTGCTAAATCCTTTGAAATAGCATACAACTGGCCTGTAGCGTGGCGAAAATACTTGTTACCTGCCTCGCCAAACTTCCAGTGTTCGGGTTCATGATATCGAACTCCCCTGCAATGCAATATAAAGTTTGGTTAAGAAACCAAAGGTTGGCCACTTTCGACATTCGCCAGGAGAGAACGGTAGGGTAATCTTACTTTTGTGACAGGACAGGACCAGATTTCATGCATCCGATGTAAACCCGTTGTTTCGACCGATGTCTGACCAGAGTTTCACCTAGTGTTGCTGTGACCAAATGGAAGGAGATGAGTTTAATGTATCATAACATCAAGTTCATCAACAAGTTTAAACACTTATCAGGAGAACATGTGTACAAATCTGACATTAATTCCTAAGATCTAAATACCAATGATTAATTCTGCTTACCTATATTTACATGAACATCGTCGTCAACTTTGACATAGAAATCCGCATCCCACAATGCAACTGCTGCAGCAAAATATATCTTTGTCTTGGCAGACAATTCAAGGTACCCTTCAACATGGTCCTGCATAGAGAACACGATACGGATGAAGATCGTATCGATAAAAACAATAATTCCCATCAAAAAGACACAAATCGCTACCAGTCTAAGGAAATCTCCATGCTTTCTGTCCTCTGCTTCAATAGCTCTGTCTAGGATACCTCCGGATGTGGCACTGTACACCATGAAAAAGAAGCTCAATCGAAATTTCGGACATTAAAGTCGTTACCTAAAACGAACAAGCTTGGTGTAGTTCTGACATTAATTTAAGATTTGAACTAAAACAGCAAATATATGATACAGAGTCAACAAATCACGTTGAATAGGTATCGTCAACTGGTAAAAGATTACGTACCTATGGCCGATAACGAAGCGAATTATAATGCCCTTCTCCTCCTCCAGTTTCTTTCTCTTTTCACCTATTTTCATATGTCCAAGAGTACCCTCATTAGCACATAATGTAAATAAGAAGAAATGATGGTACAAATAAGGTTAGTTTCAGAAAAAAACTTAGTCACTAGCTGCTCAACAACCTTGAGGCATCCACGTCTCACGAACCGAATCTCGTCTTTTCCTGCTACTAAAAGCAGTATTGATCCCTACAACCATCAAATATCTTCGTTTCCCGGATGACTGGGTATTCTTTAGATCGTCTGATGAAGGTGAACCACTCTGTATAGACTCCTGTGCTGCCTTGGCAGCAGCCAATTCCATCTCCAAATTCGAAATGGTTTTATCTAATGYACTGCATAGAGCAACATCAAAGTAAATTAGCAGTCTTGACTCTTTGTGAAAGATTCATATCATGTGCGGTCAAGCCAAGTAACGGTTTCGACTTTCACTCACTGTATGGCATTGTGAGTCTTGGAGACTTGTCCAAAAATGTCCTTTGACACACGCTTTACTTCCTTCTCATCCAACTAGAAGACCATAAACAAATCAGAAATTTAACAAAAAGAACATAAAAAAGAAAGTAGCAATGTAGTTACTTTCTTAGGCATATATACTTTGGACAAGTCACCAGCAAAAAGACTTTGAAGATGCTTACCGATTTCGGACCGCAACCTTCTGAAACTAACTTCAACTTTTCGGCTTCGAACGCGGTAGTAGTTCGAGTGATTCCTTTAGGTTCGGGAATAGTCCACATCCTGCCACAAAATTTCAACATGTTCTTCAGTCAACATTCTCAAACGCCATCTCTGCAGTGCCATACTTTAAACTTTTTAAGAACACCCAAATCTGATTCCAGTTTTCTTAAAAAAAACATTGGAACATTCTTCCCGACAGAGCTGAATCTTAAGCTCCTGGAAACAGAGCTCTTTTTTCTACCATAATTAACGGTGGATGTTGTAAGAAATACTCATGATTACAACAACAAAAGAAAAGACGAAAGTAAGCAAATCAAATCCATAAACAGCTTTAGTCTTCAGTGAAATGTAGAAATAAAGTTGGGATATGAATGGAAGACATTGATTCATTGAAGAAATGGCGAAAATAAAACAGTTCTTTAAATTGATTGCAATTGCTGGTAATCAATTTTTCAGTACAGATTCGTTAAACCAATTCTCTAAAGCGACTAAAAATTAAATACTGTCGGCTGCATTTAGTAAACGAAAAATGGAAATGTTTCCCCCAATAAACACAGACCCAGAAAAATAAATTATCCCAAAAATTGGTATCCTCCGTAGAAAATTAAAACCATCCAAATTTGGGTTTGAGCTGAAAAACGAATTAGAATCCAAGACCTCGAAATCCAAGAAAAATACCTAAATCAACGATCACAATACCTCAGCTAGTTCAACAAAAACCACAAAAATTTTCAACGTTTCTCAGCAAACATTTACAGAAATTTCTCAATTGAAAGGATTGATAAACGATAAGAACCTGTTGGTGAAGAGCATCCCCAAACAGAAGCTGCCCAGGCAGAGGAAAACTGCCCATCTCTGCGAAACGACGCTCCGGGAAGATTGCTCGGGCTTAATTTTCCAGGACATCTTCTGCCCAGATTCTCTTACGCTGCCCGGAACAACTTCTCTCAGCAAAAAACCATAACCATTGAATCAAAGAAGACCCAATACCAGAAGAGGAAAAATAAAACAGTAGGAATTGGGGAAATTTGAAATTAGCTAAAGAACAAGATTTGAATCAGAAAAAGAAAAAAAAAAAGTTGGGTTTGGTTGTTTCAGTCTTCAACTTCCAGTTTCTCTCTCTTCTCTCTCTCTCTCTCTCTAGAACTTCTCTGGAAGCTGGGAAGTTGTGCAGAAATGAGAAGCAGAGGGGGAAGGGGAAGAGGGGAGACTGACTAACTACCCTCTTACTTAATACCAAACCACCAAACTGTTCCATAAAGTGACATAAATACCCTTTGTCAGTGCTTCAAACTTTTTAAATATTTTCCTCAAAAAATAAAAAAAAGGTAAAAAAAAATGGCTCAGTTCCCATCAATCATGGTGCCATGGAGATCATGTGGTACCATGTTCTTTGAAATTATGCATTTTGTTTTGTCACTTTGGAAAGGAAATAGTCAAATTTCAAAAATTGAAGGAAGAGAAAGGTGCAATTTTTACTGGGAATATTTGTTGTGTAAATGTATGTTCTGAAGTTCGTCAAACAAATTCATTCCCGAAATTATGTGTGTTTATGTTTTACGCCATACCCATTTGGTTATATATCAATTTTAGCTTTGTTGCCATAATTTTTAGGGTTTTTTTTAAATTTTATGGGTAAAAGAATGAGTTGGACATTTTCTTACCTAACACTTTAAATCTGCAACCTATTGTAGGAGACAACCATTTAGATTTAAACGACATTTTGAGATTGGAAAAACTTTTGTGATATTTTTAGATAAATTAAGGGAATATCATAATTTGAACGGTAACATTAAAGATATTTGAATTTTTAGCCAACCAGAAGTACACATGCATAATMAAAAAATTGAGTCGACAATCCAATCAGAATCGGTTGGTTGATTTTAAAGGCACAATGGTCGTGGATCAGTTGATTCTCCTAGAACTACGAATAATCAATCTCCCGATCAAATATTATACATGAAATTTTAATATGTATATATATACATACAATAATCAATCGACCGATCAAATATTATACATGAAATTTTAATATATATATATATAAAGTTTTGCTTAAGGCTTCTTTCTTTTTTTATTTTGGCCGTATGACACTCAAGTAGGGAGGAGGGATAAGTGAATGAACTGATTTCACTTCCAAATACGAGAGATCTTGAGATCATGGAAGCATGGTCAAGAAAGACTTAAAAAAAGCGATAGTTCTTACCTATAATAACAAAGTGCACTTTCTTGTGGCTAAATCATAAGAATTGCAAAGTTATGTGTGCATATGAGTCTGAAATGACTCGTGTTGGTCTCTTCTAAGTAGTTCAGATAAAGACGGTGATGCAACCAAGTCGTARATGATGCATGGAAATGCCGCACAATTAGGTGCCGAATTCGGATTTTGAATATTAGGCCTAGGACGTTACAAGTCATCTCTCTTTGCTCGATCACTAATAACCAACCCTACAACCTACTTTTAGTAGTCAATCGACTCATGGTAGATGGTATACTACGAGATCTCAAACACCCAATTTAATAAAACTTTAGRGTGGTGGTAGATCTAGCATAATTTAGATAAAATATAATAAAAATCATTGCAAATATAATATAAGCTATGAAACATTGATATCAGTACAATAAACCTATGTCCACATCAATTATTGGTTACATTAACTTCTTTTTAAATACATGTATTTATAGAAATGCATATTTACAAATATATTAGAAAATATGGAGTGCCCCTCAAATTTTCCTAGGAATTTTACCCAAAATCACATGACAAAAATGCTCATGTGAAAGATAGCCATGTCTTTGGGAATCAAATGGTACATGGAGGAGCTCTTGAATATGGGGTGAAGGGAACAGAATTGATGCTTTATGAGCATCAAATAAAAGCTACATGTCAATATTATCATTTCCTACATATATAAACACATGTAATAAAAATTATATTTGGGTTAATCTGTTTCAAGTTTATTAAATCAAAATATGAATTTTCTTTTAAAAGAAATGAATTTTCAATATCTATTCATCTGCATTGGTAATTAAAGAAAATGATCTTGAAATAAATCAATAGCTAAACTGATGAAATTCATGCACCTAAACCAATCATTTCAATTTTTTTTTTATGAGGTGGTGTGTAGTTGCTATTTTATATTGGATTATTTTACTCAATTAAAGTCAAACTCTCTCGTAATTACATACAATTTAGGGCGTTTGTTAAGATAATTGATAGATACTTAAGACTTGATACCAACTTTTATTGCAAGTATATAATAAGATTCCGTGTTTTCTTAAGTTCCACCATCAACCTTTTTTAATATAGTTCTACCATTGATCTCGTAAAAGTAATAAATATCAAAATTTGCAATATTTGAATTTTTAATATTAGAGTTCGCAATGGTAAGTACTTCGAGTCTTGGTGTTATACTCAGTCTAGATAACAAACTTTGATTATAGGAATCCATTAAAGTACGATATCAATTCTAGAAAATAAAAAAAAAACATTAAGAGTTTCAAATTTGAAATAGGTAACAAAAGTAACAAAGATAAAAGCTAGGTGGGGATAAGCGTGGAAAAGGCAAAAACAAGAAGCTTGGCCAACAAATTAGAGAGAGAAAAATTGCACGTGACAGATCGACAAAGAAAAGAAACGTGGCAGATGGTAATTGGATGGAAGTAGAAGAAGGGGCTTCCATGGGCCTTTATCTGTACCATGCATCACGTGATGTGTCGCCCCTCGGTCACGTGGATGCTGCCAAAGTTTCTGCTAGAGATCTCCCCCACCTCATAAGCAAGCTGACACGTGTGCATTTTTCTTAGCATCAAAATTATTCTCTCTCTCAGCTTCAGAATTTCGTCCAGAAATTATTGTTGTTATTATTATTTTATTTTATTTTTGGGATAAGGATTCTTGGATATTTGTGTTGGATTTCCCTCTAATAKGTTTCAATATTCAAATTAGTTCATGCTTTAGATCTAATTAACAAAAAAATCGATATTAGCAATTTTTACGTATTTTGCATTGATTCTTTTGGAAGTCGTGCTTTGGTCGGTTATGCACAATCAAAAAATATTTCAATGATTCCATTGTCATTTCATTTTTTTACGTAATTTATTTTTAATCTATCTCGATTTCACTAATTAAATTTTATTTTATTTATCTTCCCAGCGTACGAGAGGCTGAACAAATATAATTTTCCGCAGATATAATATACCTAAACTTAAATATTTTTAAAGTTAAAAAGTGTAAATCTAGTCCTTCATTTCTTAAATTATGTCTAATAAATCACTAAATCTTTAACCTTTTATATTGTATTAATACTAAAAAAAGTTAATAAATCTCAAAAGTTTCAAATCTGTTTCTAATAAATTTATGATCTATTGCTAACCTAAGTAAAGGTTAATTGGYTAAGACATTACTTATTTCTCTAAAGATCAAGGGTTTAAATCTCTCACTTTGTTGAACCAAAAAAAAAACACTCTTTCGTTTATCAATTTTGTGTTTTATAAATCCCTAAATTTTAAAAATACCTAATAGGCCACAACAAAAAGTTAAAAGTTGTCCAAAAWCTTAAAATATATGGATCAATTAGACACTAAATCTAAAAATTTATTAGACCTTTTTTAAAATTAAAAAACATAAGGCAATCTTGTAATTTACTTATTTTACAAATATACTGATCCATTCAAACTTTCAAGAATTTTGATGACCTGGGGACTCTTAGTGAAGTTTCCAAGCATTGAAACAAAGGCGAGGGACTCAGAAGGGTAAAACAATAGGATCACGAACAACCTCTTTTAYAATATAGGATCACGAACAACCTCTTTTACAACATGTAGGATAAAGATTCGATCAACAATCTTTTAATTGTGAATAACCAATTGAGTTATATTCAGATTGACCGAACAACCTTATTTTTAAAAACATGAAAATGGTAAAAGCAATATGATTCTAAATAACCAAAGTTTTTAATCATATACAAAATTTGTTAAATCATAAATCAACTCAAAATCTCAAGTCAATGGGTTATGGTCTAATTCAACCGTTTACAAATATCAACACTCATTGACATGAAAACTTGCACAAAACCTGGTAAGACACTCTCAAAGCTCGCAGACAAGACCTCCTGCTTTGTTACCATGTTAAATCACCAATTGACTCAAAAACTTAAATTAATAGGCTACGGTAACTCTCATATAGTTTAATTTCAAGGATGCATAAGAAGATTAAAATCAGGTACTAAGAAACCAAACTTTTTATGCATTTCCACAATCAGAAGAAAAGGAAAGAGAGATGGAAGAATGAGGGGTTGAGATTGAGAATCCTGGAAAATTGATTCGCAAGTTTAGGAGAGTATTGCTTGGAAGAGGACTGTAAGGCAAGGAATGGCGCTGGCGCCGGTGGTGGCAGCAGCAGAAAGAGAGAGAAATGCAGATGCAGATGCCTATCTTGCAATGGCAGTTTCCATTCACTTTTCAAAAACTTGACCAGAAACCCAAGGCTGCCATTTCCACCCACTCCCATTCCTTACGCCTCCTCTGCCCCTTTCCCCACCAAACCAAGTTTCCCATTTCTAAGGCCTGCCTTTCTTCTCTGCACCCTTTCATACTCCTCAATGTTACACACATCTTGTCAGTTTCAGTTTGTAATAACAGCACGCACAAGAATCTTGCTAAGTTTCAAGCCTATGAGAGATTCAGTTGCTACTGCTTCCCAGTTTTTACCTTCAAAAGACATCTGATAACCAATCTACTACACTGTGCAAGGACAACATTGGGTCCCCATAGTTTCAATTTAGTGCCTGTATAGTWTGTTTAAACTTCGTAATATTGGATTTGTAAAGGAAATGCAAACAAAGTTTCACATTGGTCAGGGAAGAACATGATCCATGGTATATAGATGAGGACAACTATCTCCATTGGTATGACAAAGTCGTGAGGATTATACCCAAAGCGAACAATATTATTATACCATTGTGGAGATACTTGGGGTACCGTTGTCCTTGACACATAAATCATCCTTAAATTGTGTTTTATCCACATATTTTATTCTATTTCTTGCTCGAACTCTAAATTCCAAAACAGTCAACTAACACAATTAGCTAAATAAAAAACACGAGCTTGGCGAAAATTACCAATATGGTTTTCTTTTTACACTTCAAATCCATAGGGGACTATAGAACATATGTTTGCTATAAAAGTTAGGCTGGCGGATATGATTCAACTCTTCACAATGATTTATGAGTTTTCTTTATTCAATTTTATTAATGATTTTCGTTTATCATTGTTTACTGTTTGACGTAGGTATTGACCTTTTTTTTTTCTTTCTTTCTTTTTAGCTTCAACTCTTTAATTTTTTATGTTAGAGACAGCGTAATCCAATTAAGAAGAAGGGGAATGAGCAGCCAAGTTGTTTTCTAAATGATATCTAATCAAGATTAAGAAGAATGATGGCTTCTTCCACCACTTCTTTTAATTGCTTTACCACGCAAGCGTCTCGTCCTTGTGGATTTATTAGATTAAATTTCAATCATCTCCACTAGTTTTTGTCAATCGACACAAGTAATTAATTGTCCTTTGTGTAGGGCATGCTTCTTAAAACACTAGAATACAGGGTGAATTTATTGAATCGAAGAAATTTGGACCCATTTGGTTCATGAACTGACAACATTTTTACTCTTGCCACTAATGAATAAACCGAATTTAGAAATATACGTTTCATTCACTAAATTTGAAAAATTATATCGCCCATTATGCAAATAACACTAAATTAACACTATTTTATATAGATTAGAGCTTGGAATGTTTAGAGATACTCTCTTGAGATGTTTAAATTCAAACTCCCAGGTGGAAAACTTGATAATTTTGAACATTTGAAGTGAGACGATACCTCCTTCAAAAAATAGTGAAAGCGGCCATAAGCATTGTGCAAAGAATAGAACCTCTAATACCCTATAAAAGAGTACCAAGAAATTTAKTTTTGTTATTTTTGACATTGCACTATCTTTTAGAGATTACTGGCTTGGTTGGGATAATAAATCTAATAATGACAAGGTATTGCAACATTATATATAGAGATAGTCTAACTAGCAAAAATTAACTAACAGAGGGATGGTTGACTCCTAGATTAGGTATGTGTACAGTAACATTAAAAAGTCAAACCTAATTTTGTCAAATAAATTTGCTTTTCAGCTCCTTACCGGTCATAATCTATCTCTATCCTAAATTCCTAATCTAAAAAATAAAAAATCTATATTTTTTATATCTCTTAGTTGTAAAACATTCAATAATAGTTAGAACAAGATAGATCCTGACGGGTCAGAAGCTAAGTATTTGCATTATAAAATTGCAATTACACTGGTTCAACTAGGTAATTGACTTTTTTTCCTCATAATTTTCAATGTTTCCACAACCTCATACCCAGATCTTCAAACTCTCGTGGCAATTACACTAGTTCAACTAGGTAATTGATTTTTTTCCTCAGTTTACTGTAGAAGTGCTTTTACAAGTTGATGTATTATTATAACATTTTTCAATCAACTGGGGTAATTAGATCTTTTCTTTCCTCCTCATTTTCAGTGTTTTCACAACCTCTCACGCCATGTGGAATACCCAGATCCTCAAATCCTCATGGCAACTCAGTTTAGAAGTGCTTTTACAATTGCAAAAAACTATGGCAACTGAATTTTTTCCCTCCTTAATTTCAGTGTTTTCACAACCTCGGTTCATGTAGAAGAATACCCAAACCCTCAAATTCACATGGCAACTTAGTTTAGTTTAGAAGTGGTATTCCAAAGGCAATGATGATGGAATGGAACAAGAGGGCCATAACCCACGAGCGTAGGCCCCATAAAGGAAGGCAAAGGCCATCTCCATCTACTATTCCTCCATCTGCCGACAACCATGTGGCTTCCCATCTACATCCTTCTTCTAACCCTCAGCCTCACCTGCCTTCCCATCTCACACTCTCTCTATAATCATACTTTTTTTTACGTCTTTTAAATCCTAAGACTTTGGAATGTGTCAGAAGCCTACATGTGGATGTGGGACTTGGGAGTGTGGGTGGGTGAGACCTAACATGATACTTATTTATCCTCTTCAAAAGAAAGTTTTCAATCATAGACAACATTACAATTTCCAGATTTTTTTAAATTAAGACATACAATGAAAGTAGGCCTCGGCTGCACTAGCTACAAGGTAAAGGAAAAGCTAATTGTTTGAAGGAAAATGCTTGTGGTCTTTGAATATTTCTTCTTTTGGTCTTTGATTTTTAAGACGTCAACTTTAGTTCTTTAATTTTTATCCATATGGAATTTTGGTCACCATCTTGTTTCTGAATGATGAGCAAAAAATTAACGATCAAAAATAAAGTTTCAAAAGGTATGGACCAAAATAAATAAATAAGGTTAAAATACTATTTCAGTCCTAATACTTTTAGTTTTGGTTCATTTTGGTCTCTATAATTTTAAATGGTTCATTTAGATCCATGTATTTTCAACTTTTGTTAATTTTAGTCTATGTACTTTTAAAGTTTCTATGTACTTATAAAATGACCATTTTAGTTTCTATTTATAAACTTAAACACAAATTTTATACACAATACAAAACCTTTTGATACAAAATTTTAACTACATTTCAATAAATTTAGTGAGTAAAATGTCATGCTAAAATTTTGATAGAAATAAATGCAATAAAAATGAAATGATCGCAGTGGAGACCAAAATGAACATTTTGAAAGTATAATGACCAAAATGAACCAAACCGATAGTACATGAACGAAATAGTATTTAAACCAATAAATAAAATCAAAAGATCACTTGAACCATATTTACATCAAAACTAAACTAATTGGGGCGGCTGGGTTTAGAACTACTGAATCATCAAGGCGTCAGAACTTAATTAATTTTCCTCATCGAGGAATTAACAAGGAAAAATTAATCATGTGAGCCGAGAAAATAAGAAAAAAATTAAGAAGTGTAAGGTTTACCTGTAATATTTTAACCAATGTTTGTTTAATTGGTTGAAGCTGACCTCGTCAATAACAAATTTGGACGAGAGAGACCAATAATGGGTAGGCCAGCGAGATCTCCAGCCAACCTCTCAATGGATGTTTCTAGATAATGGATGCGATTAAATTAGCTGTTAATTTAAAATCTTCATCCTTTTACAACGCATGATTCCCGAGATACTTTACCTGATGATTGTTAAGCTGTAGCTCCTACACAGTTGAAATTCAAGACGTATGCTTGGTCCTGCCATTATTATTAGAATTAGAAAACTAGCGTAATTCTACCATAAAAGTCTCAGTTTGTTAGACCGTCCTTTTCCTCAAATAGCTAAGAAAATAAAGCATTATTTTGATAGAAGATCCAACTATTAAATTATGTTTCATCCATTAAACTATGTTCAGATTGACCAAACTTCTATACAATGTTATCTAATTAGGGATCACATTGACATATCGTTTAGGTTTTGTTAGATAAGAATAAAGATTAAACTCATTTACTGACAAAATTCTATCGTCTAATCTATAACATGATTAAATTCTAGCAAAAACATAAATGTTTATATCTGAACCTCTGAACAGAAATATAAATCATCTGATATTTAACCTTATAGTTGGAAAACAAGAGGCCGGTCGTTTACCTGGAAGTGGCTTCAAAAATTAATTCCATTTCTAATGCAGTTTATTTCCTTAAGCTATGTTGAAAACATTCAAGAATGCTTAGTCAAAGAGGTCCAAAGGCAAGCATGAATTCAGTAAGGTATAATTTATAAGAGAGATGAAAGGCTCACGAGATGGGGGCAAAGACAAGGCCGCCATCTCAATCTTATAATACAGAAGATCTGCACATAATTGGACAAATTAACTTCCTTCAGATCAGAGACATTTGAAAATGACAAAAATAAATAAATAAATAACGTGCCAAATTGAAAATGGAGAAATTTTACTTGTGGCCTTGTGGGAATGAACCCGAATACAATTTGATAATTCCTAGCATAAAATGATATGCTAGCAGTGCATGCAACATGAGCACTGCTGCAGTACTTCAAAGTATTCTACTCATTAGAAGGGGAAGCTTTCTTTATAGGATTGTATACACTGAATTCACCGAAGTCCCTTCTACCACTGGAATAAAAAATAAGTGGAAAGATTTCAATGTCCACAAAGCAAATCATTCCACTAATGGAGATCTGAACATAACAACACTACTTCAGAGATTAAGCAACAGGAGAAATCATTGACACAATGATCTACACCTTCTCATGGTCAGTGAACGGTGCTATGAAATTCAAATCAATATTTATTAAAGATGATGCCATAGAGAAATAAAACAGGAGTTGTATGTCTTCATGTTGTATGGTCATTAATTTCCATGGTCAAAAGAGCTCAAATGATAATTAGCCTAGACATAGATCTGCAAGCAGGTCTATGCAACCTATCACAAAACAAGATGTCAAGACAAACCAGGCAAGAAACAAGGTCAATTAAAACATCTAACGATATGATCTTGAGTCCCTAAAGGTAAAGCTACAGCAACATGATAAAAACAACCCCGTCTCCTTTATCAAATATCGATAGTGTAACTTTCATTATTTTACCTTTATTTATAATCATCATTGAATATGAAGGCATAGTAGAGAAAAGATTTGTAACAACATTGTCCACTTGCAATATTGAATATTGAGACTGTATTTCAAGAGTTGTTAACTGAATGATAATGAACTTTTTAACTGTTACCAATATAAATGATTGCTTAAATAAGGTGGACTATCAGGAAGTATGGTGATTCCATGATACMTTGATGAGAAAGGTCACAATGTGATAGTGAGAACAAAAAAGGCAGACGGAAAAACACGGAATCTTCAGTGTAATTGGAGACTGGAATAATACGACGTTCATGGTAGTAAATGATAATCATTTTTTAAATATGACAGGAAATGTCAATCATAAAAGAGACGTCCAAATGGGTGGTTATAATATGAGCCTCCCATTTTGGAGTTTTAGACCTTGAATTAAGTCGATTATTTCAGTGTACCTGTGGTTGACGTCCCAACCGGCGGGTAAGAAACGAGGTTTAGTAGCAGCAACAAACACTTGTCTCCACCTTTGACAAAACTGTCGGATACCCTCCTCACCATATTCCCTCAGTAGATGATCCACAACTTGTTTACCATGTGGTCCATGTCCCAAGAGTGATAATTTTGGATTGAATTTGGGTTGAGCAGTTCTAGCGGAGCCATTATCAGAAAAGCCAACCTGTCCACCAGGCAGACATTTGTCAGACACACTACCACTATCTGAGTTTGTGTGACTGTTAATATCTGCATTGGCATAACCATCAAGCCTTTAATTAGAACAGAAGAATGAATGCTCGAACTACTTATTCTCCACCCTCTATGAATAACATTTTATCTTTTGTGAAATGCACGTGTCAGCAAAAAGTTAACTTCTCTACGGTCTACACATACCAACTGATGAATTGACCGCAGTCGACGTGTCAATGTCACAAGCACCATTCTGATGCTCAGCATTGGGAAAATTACTCTGTGCCGAGTGTTTCAAAGCTATACCCCTTTTCTTCTGAAGTCGTCTTCTCTCATGAGGACTCATGCCAACCAACAGAGCCCTTTCCAAATCTTCTTCAGATATCTCCCTCCGCCCATAGTATCTCATGACAGTCTGAAAACACGACAAAGATGGGAGTGGTGAGGAAAAGATATATTATGAATTCCAGAGGGGTTGATGATTCACGATACCATGGTGTTACTGAAGATGCTATAAGAATGGGAATTACGTAACTAAAAAAGGTTATCTTCAAATGGCCAATACCTACAGCATACTAATGAATAAACAATATTCAGGGCCATTTTCAGTCTCAATCTACTGATGGAGAATATGGAAAAATGCTAATTGCTACAGTTGATGATTAATATAATCTTATAGCATCATGAAGATTTTGAATGACAAATTTCTACCAAGATGGAACCCTATTAAATGATTTAAGTACTAAGCATTTGATATCATGAAATCAAAGATCTTTTAAATGGCTAGGATAGCAGATGATCCATTGCACACACATATACAGTGACTATCTCAAGAACGTAACAGCCTGCATAGTATATGTCTCATACAAGCATGAGTTCCTCTTGACGCTTTGATGGCATCCGTGGTCCATGCCGCAACAGGGCCATAGCAGCTGTTCTCAATTCTAAAGGTGACACACCTTCCTCCTGAAAGTTGGTTCCCGAATCAGATGGCTCAGCTAAATTAAAGGCTTCCTTAGTATCAACCACTCTACGAACAAAAAGTGGAATTCCAAATTCTGCAGCAAGCTCTCTCTTGTGCTTCTCAGCAGCGGCATGGGCAATTTCATGACAGTCCACACAAAGTAGAACGATATCATGAGACCGATGACTTTTTAAATGCTCAGGAAAGTGTATTCTGTAGCATGAGGGGATTATTCGATAACGTAAATAGTGGTTTCCTTCACCACAACCAACACATATATTCTTTTTACTCTGGATATAGAAGTCATTGCCCTCATCTTCTGGACGGCCTTTGGGTTCAAAAAGAAGCTTTATGGCAGGAGGATCATCATCAACAAGCTCTGCTAACTCTCGGCGCACATACCTGTTTAAATACAAAGATAATTGTTTGGTGTCAAACGCATTCAGTATTCACATTGCCAACCTGCCACTTACAATTATAACTGTAATGAAACTATGAGATGTCAGATGCTAACCAACCATTCGAGTTTTCGTCGATCACAATAGCAAAGCAAGCGTCCATCATTTGCATAAATCCTACAATTATGATAAACTGGAGATTTGCAGGAGAACTTCTGCACAAAAAGCTCTCTGGAAGCTTTTTTAGATATTTGCTTTGCATTCTTTCTATGATTATGTTTAGATATTGTCATCATTTTTAGGTTATACTTAACCAATAGTGCATAGTTAAATATAGAAAGGGGGCAACTGCCATCAGAACCTATGCAGTTCTGTAAAATAACCAAAAATATATTATCAAGGTCACCAGACTTGTCATGGAGGAGACAATGAAGGTCATCCAAATGGCTGCAAACAACAGGGGAGGGAGATGGAAGAAACAGACTCGGACTCAAATCCACATGTAAATCAGCTTGTGCAATAGTTGCATATAATTCCATTGTATTTTTTGGCACTTTGTTTGCAAGTGCTACAATAGCCTGATCCGACAACACGTATCTCAGGCTCTCATCATGAACTCGAGCCTGAAACGAAATGACAATCACAAATTCAGGTAAGCAGCTACAATGAAACTTCCATTTTGTCATTGCTCTAATGAAAGAATCCCTGGTCAGTGGGATATATGATAAATAAGCTAAAGATTGCTAATATAATTAGAATTACATTGCCTATACCATTGCCAAAGTCCAAACAATTTCTTTTAAAGCAACCACTAAAGTTAATTTACTTACCATGGTGCTTATGAGCAGAAGGAACCAGTAGTGTAGATGGTAATGTGTCAGGTTTCACGATGATGACATGACAAGAATGTCTAACCTTCATGATGTCTAATTTTTGGCCAACTTGGAGAGAGCAATTGAGATAGTCTATTTTGAATCATGTCAGCAGTATTTGTATTCGCAAGCTAAAGATAGCTAATATAATTACATGCCTATAGATGGTTGGAGGGACACACGATAAAGACAAGCTAAAGATTGCTAATATAATTACATGCCTATACCATAGATAAGCCATTTATTTTAAAGCAACCATAAAGTTAATTTACTTACTATGGTCCTTATAAGCAGAAGGAACCAGTAGCATAGGTGGTAATGCGTCGGGTTTCACGGTGACATGAAAAGTATGTCTAACCTTCATGATGTCTAATTGAGAGTCTATTTTGAATCAGCGGTATTTAAGCCTTTAAGAAATAGAAACCAAATAAAGTGCTTGAATTTTTAAGATATTTATTACTCGTATAATTCTAGTAACCTATTTAGGAGAAGTATTTGCTTGATTTGTGAGATAACTATAGGACAACCTAGCCAAGTACACTCCATAAACATCCAAAATCCATAAAATGGAGTTTTGACCTTCAAGTATGTAATGATTCAAGGAGTCCATAACAGAGATCCAATCATGTATCTTGCCATCTGGAAGGTTTCTTCTCCACCTAACCAACCAACCACTATGGGATGATGGAGGAGTTACAGAAAAAGGCCAACCTATAATTTTTTGGAGTGGTCTTAAAGCACTTAGTGAACCAACCTCTACCTTCGGTCCCATAAATAATTAAACACTAGCTATTACCAAATACCAAAGGGGTAAGCACCAAACCCCCTAAGAGATAAGATGTTAAATGGAACGAGCAAATTGGGAAAATATCAAAATCCAAAATAAGTAAATAATTATAAAATAAATACAAAAATCTTTGAGAGCAATCAATTTTTTTCTGACTTTTTTTCTATAATTAGCTACTGACCATTAAGTCCCGCCAAGCGCACAATCTCCTCACAAGATCCTGAAACTGAAAATTTAAAATCTGGTGATAGAATATCATAAATTTGAATTGTGGTACTGCTTCAAATGACATAACATCAAAGTAGTCAAGAAAGCATCTTACCTGAGTTTTACAGGAAATTATTGTACTAACACCTTGACTGTTTAAACGCCGGGAAGATATTGATGATGCAGCAGACTCTCCAGGAGAACCTTCTGTCTCTTTTGCATAGAGTTGCAAACAAATCATGTTTGATCGCCGACTAGCCTCGAGAAGAAAATTGAATTTATCATCGGTGGAAGAGTTTTCTGATACATTAATGCACTTAGATATATGATGATGTGGATGTGGAAAGAGATATAATTTGAAAGTAACCACTAAAATTGATAATTACTCTGCCTCTAGCCCAAAAGCAAGGCTACATAAGGAATTAAAAATTTTCCAATCAAATCAAAGATGACAATGTCAAGGTCAATAGATATGGGAAGAATAGGAGTAGAAGAAAATATTGATGTTGACAAAAATATCAAGATCTCAAATTTATAAAAATATCGGCATAAATGTTGAGTGTCAAAGAACATTCCAAAAATGTTTATAAAAAAATTGAATTAATAAATAAATTTTTAATGCCACTTAAATAAATTATACAACATCACAACCTTAATCTTGATTTTAAACTTTGTCTAACATGCTTACAAAAGAATAGCTATAAATCAGTTTCTAAAATCTCTTTTAAATTAAAAAAATTCACATTTTACAAGATTGAAGAAAAATATGGTTCTCACCAATATTGAGACATTAATGTCAGAAAAGCGTCCAGAGTAATATTTAAATCGTTGAGTCTATTATGAAAATGGCACAAGGCTAAGCTAAGACAAAACTTTAGCACATTACCATGTGAGACCCTATTTGCTTCCTTGTTTATTGATAATCATTATATTCATCTTTCGTCCACTGTTCTTTTTCTATTCTCCAAATTTGCATGTAAACAAGTTATACAACAAGTGAATGGCATCAAACACCAACGTGAGATCCAAGACATACCATTGACCTGTTTCAGCTCAGAAAGCAAACAGTTTGCAATATGCAGGAGATAGTGGGCGTCTGTCCTAGCATACTGCACCATCTCTGCTGATAGTGGTCGTTGTCTCCAATCTTCTCGCTGGCCATTAATGAGTAACCACATAAAAACAAGACGAAAAAGGATGTTAGATGTACGACAAGATAGGGTATGAATCATTCCTTACCTTATTTAAGTTGAAGCTAAAACTAATATAGATTTAGTTAGATTACTGAACATTAGAATATGCTCTATGACAATCTTAGGCAGTTAAACATGCAACTAGTGCACTGTACAATTTTCAAACAGAATAGAACATGATAGACATGTTATAAATGCTCATTTCATAAATTATTACATGTATGAGTATGTTGTATGATCAGGTCAGTTAATATCTCAAAATCAAATACCAAGTACTCCTGCTATGATTAGAGAATAATAAATAACTTATATCTAAAATCAGATGGTTAAGGACTCAAAATGTGGATTCTCATACTACGTCGGTATATTATTAGACAAGATGTCCAACCTGCAACATTTTGTTTGTAGCTACCCCACAATAAGTTTCAAGTAAGTAGGCCAGTGACTTCTGAGGTTTTGACAGCAGCTCACATGCCTACATTGTAACAACAATCACAAGATGAAAAAAAAAAAATTGACCTGTCACACTTTCACACATGACAAGTGCATAGTTTCTTCATTTTTCCCCCCTTTTACAAAGATGACATTTCTTTCCTTTGAAAAGTATATCTTACCTTTGCAGTATCAAATAAATTGACTACATATATGTGGAAGTCTCTTTGTAGCCAAAGAATGTCATTATCAGCACCGTGAAACACCTAGAACACAAAATTAAATTAAATTGGAACCTTGCCTTCATACACCAATAAGTTTTCTAACACCAAATAAAATATTGATGGAGAATCAGTTTCTTCCAGTTCCAGATAATGTAATTGCTCTACTTCTCACCAATACCAAATTGATGGTGTTCTGTTACCTCTTTTGCATTTAATTTAATCGGCATGATGCTTTGTACCAGTTATGGACGGAGTTAGTATAATTCCTCTAGATTATGTAATTGCTAAAGTTTTCTTATCAATACCAAATCAATGGTGCTCTGTAATCTTTTATCCTTTAATTGGGGTGACGCTTTTCCCTTTTTTTTCTTTTTTGTAGCCCTTTTTTAGTTTTCAGACTATGATCTTATCATAGAATATATGTGTGTGTGTGTGTGTGTGTATAACCTATGAACGGCAGCAACATTTAAAAATTAATCGAGTAAACAAATATTGGCACTTCATAAGAAAATAGAAAAGCGCCTGAACAAATAGTAGTACAAGGTAGTGTAGCTCTACCACATTGAACGGAATAATACCAATGTATTTATACTAAGTAATAACCTTATACAAGCTAAAAAGTGTACGAAGTTAATGGATACCAAGCTTGTCTGAAACTGAACCTTTAAACCAGCACCTGATCATATATTTTGATACCTTACAAATACGACTATTGGCAAAGATAGGACGTAGAAGATTCATTGAATCGTGTAGAGCAATAGCGTCAACCAAATAATCTTCCTTGCGTGTAGAAATCTGCTTCCAACAAAATAACAAGCAATGATCATGACTGTTATAGAAAGAAGGGTTGCATGAAATAAAGATTCATCAATTTGCGTGTACTAAAGCTCCCTTGATATATATATATATATATATATAGAGAGAGAGAGAGAGAGAGATTAAAATCTACCTGTATTAAAGCAGTAAAACCGAGAAAGGATCTGAGACTGTGCTGCTCTGTATCGACAGCAAACACCATTTCTTTATTCAACACATCCACGAGTTCTTCCAATTGGGACTCGGTCTCAACCCAAACATAAGCGTCACTTGAAGTAAAATCCTTTCTTTCACTAACAAAATCATACTCAGGGAAAGAATTTTCCAGCAATGATAGTATTTCTGACTCGTAGGGGTGCGAGTTTACATCATTGTCTGCAAAAATAACTCACTTCATTCAGTCAGCCCCCTTATAAGTTATAAGAACATGAGAACCACTATTGCAAAATCCTTCACAACTGAATCTTACAGACGTAAATTTCGAACACTAGTTATGACTCAACTTTTCACCAACTATTAAATAACAAATTTAGAAAAATCTTCCAGATTTCCATTTCCCTACATCCTGTTACTCCATGGAAATTATCCATCTTAAAAAGCACTTGACCTATCCTTTTCCAAACAAACAATGATAAATGCATCTAACAACTTAAATTTTAGCTGCTTTTGACCCCATTTGCCACTATTAAACGACACAGTCTCAGCATCTAAACACAATACAATATAACATCAGAAATAAAGTAATGGATTAAACTTTACCTGTATTCATATTGAGCTTCAAGTGCTTGAACACAGAATAAGAATTGTCAGCCAAGACCCGCTTAAATGTGTACTGARGCTTCTGATCATCACCTCGTAAATAACACGAACTACGAACGCTCTTTTGCTTCCTGCGCCGTCTGGCTGTAAATAAGATTGTCAGCGCTGCAAACGACGCTACTGCTAGAACGATTTTGACCTTGTGTTTAAGCTCCATTCGTATCAATGGCTTCCGTTTTCCTTTCACCGCTGTTTCTTTGCTTTTGAGCTGATTGATCTTTCTCGTACGGCGGCGACGGTTTCGACTCCAGACAGTGTTGTGTTTGCACCGTTTCGCAACGATGTCGTATTGGGATACGCTGATGAACCCCCTTTTTCGACGTGGTGCCACGTCAGGCAGACGAATTTCCTTTATATTATCTGTCCTAGACGACAAATCGTCGGATATTCTTTTAGATCGAGTGTAGATCCGACATGTCGTATTCCATCCCAAGGCCTTACTTTACATCTATATTTCATCGGCCAGGGAAGCTGTTTTCATGGTTTTTCCCCTGGGTCTTCTGGAATGTTAAACGTGAATTTATGGCTAGAAATGGAGAATTATAAGCAGTCATTTCAACTCTAACCTAAATTCAAAAACTTATCTAATCACAGGAGAAGATATCACTCATTTCGTTCTAAATTAAGGACTACCACGTCGTTTAGCGTCTCATCACTTACGTCTCGGAAAATAAAATTATGAAATCTTCTTTGAGCAGTTATATTTTAAATTAATATTGTTTAAAATTTGAAAGGTCTCTCTATGTTTGTCCGAAGATTTTGTTTATCCATGTTCAATTTGCAAGAATTACGATTAAATTACTCAGGCATAACTTGAAAGGTATTTAATTTCTTTCAGTAATTTTTTAAGATTTCTTTTGTTGTTATACCATTTTTAAAAATTATTGGTCTAAGGCTTTGTAATCAACATTCGTAAAATAAATTATGATATTAAACTACTATTTATAATTTAATGTGTAAAAATAAAAAGACTAATAATAATCTATTGAAATACTATAAGCTTTGCTAATTTTAGGATAAATACTTTCGATAAAAAAAATTCAAAACAACGCAGCCCAAATATTAAAAAATGAATAACACTTACCTACTGATTGATATCACATATTCACCACTATTGAATGCACGAAGGAATGAAGAAAGAGAGAGTGAGACTTTTTTTTTTTTTTTAAAAAGATAAAAAACTATCAAACTTTTTAATAGTGATTAGTAGTGAGACTTTTTCTTTTTTTAAAAAAAAAAAGATAAACAACTAAACCATCAGTATCTAAGTATAATTCTAAAATTAATTAAGTTCTATAGATTGTCAACCGAAAGAGAGTTTATCTAAATATTTAAATATTTAGTAGCAGCCAACATATTACTATTGCATATCGATAGCGTAGGAAGAATTCACGTTACTCATCAYTAAATTCTTATTTCAAAAAAAGAAAGATGAACAGTAAGAAAATTAGTGGTGAATTCCTCACCACCAGTCACCAAGAAAATATTGTTCTTTATAGTTTCCTACAGAAAAACTTGCTAATAATAAAGAAATTTGAAGATATTCACTTGGTATAAGTATAATTAGTATTACAAAATATCAATTTCTTAGCAACTCACAAACCATTTATACAAGTTACAAACGGGATCTTACTGCAGATACGAGAGGGTCTCACATGTCACTTCTCCAGCCAAGTCCGCAACAACTTCTCTGTTCAGAGGTACTAAAAGATCAAACAGATGGGAATAAATGAACATAGTTGACGAGTTACAACTGTAATAAAAGGATATTAAGGGATAAAAACCTAACGTTGCAGGAAAATGCAATGATCCTTAAATACAAATCATAGCCTAACTATCTAACGTGTTAAACAAAGGAACATTTAGAAATGGAAAAATATGCAAGGCAATTAAAGCAGGGAAGGAATTGTCAAAATCACACTTACATTATACTGATAAAACCTTATGTTGCAGGAAGATGCAATGATCCTTAAATACAAATCATAGCCTAACTAGCTAACGTTGTTAAACAAAGGAGCATTAGAAATGGGAAAATACGCAAGGAAATTAAAGCATGGAAGGAATTGTCAAAATCACACTTATACTGATAACTAAAACTGAACATCCAAAGGATACACGGTGCAGATATGGTATGGTAATTTTACCAAAGGAAAATGCCACTATCCAAATAATGATACTGCCAATTGTGTTCGTGTTCTCAACAAAGAAAAGTGAGAACTCTAGAAATGCCAGAAGTGCCTTCAAGATCTTTCATATTTATGATAGGATGAAAAGATCAGCATCCAAAACTATTAAAGAGCATTAAACTCAAATTATATTTAAAGTTAGAAAGTTAAGCATTTTGATATGGTAATTTGTTTATCCAAAACTATAGACTTGCAGCCTACATACTCTAAATAGACTAAACGTCTTAAAGCAATTTCTAACATTAATAGAGAATCAAAAAAGTCGAGCATTTCAATATGGTAATTTGATTATCCCAAACTATAGATTTCCAAACTACAGATTTCCAAACTACATACTCTAAATGTACTAAATGTCTTAAAGCAATTTATAACATTAATATAGAATTGAGAAAGTCGAGCATTTCAATATGGTAATTTGTTTATCACAAACTATAGATTTGCAAACTACAAACTCTAAATGGACTAAACGTCTTAGAAGCAATTTCTAACATTAATATAGAATCTAAAAAGTCAAGCATTTCAATACGGTAATTTGATTATCCCAAACTATACTACACAATCTAAATGCACTAGATATCTTAAAACAATTTCTAACATTAATATAGAATTGAGAAAGTCAAGCATTTCAATATGGTAATTCGTTTATCCCAAACTATAGATTTGTAAACTACAAACTCTAAATGGACTAAACATCTTAGAGCAATTTCTAACATTAGAATCAAGAGAGTAAGCATTTTGATATGGTAATTTGTTTATCCCAAACTATAGATTTGCATACTACAAACTCTAAAGGGATTAAATGTCTAGCAATTTCTAACATAAATATAGAATCAAGAGTCAAGCATTTTGATATGGTAATTTGTTTATCCCAAACTATAGATTTATATAGAACATTTATATAGATTTCAGACTCCTGACTCTAAATCGACTAAATGCCTTAAAACAGCTTCTAACATTTATATAGAATCGACTGTGTGGATTAATCAATAACCAAAAATCCTCGATCCACACACAATTAAGAGAATACTTATAGTTCTAGAGCAGTTGCGAGCAGACCGAGTGGACAACAGAAAACAAACCCTAGTTATTGTTGAAATTGCTGGAAGAAATTCACAAATGCTTCCAGCGCTTTCTTTACAGTCGTAGACAACAGTTGACTTGTGTTCGAAGAGAATGTGGAGACTGGCAAGAAGTTCAACATAAGCCCCTAGCTTTGAGGTTTGAAATGAGCCCTAGATTAGAGTAGTACAACAGAATCCCACAGATAACATGATCAATATTAAGTAAAAAAAAAAACCAACTCAACACACAATAGATCGATAATTTGGTAGCTCTTATTATTTCAATTCGGTAAAATCGAGGAAAATTTTCACATGAGCGACTAAGGATTACCTACAAAAGGTATCATGTATTAAAGATTAATATTAATTTCACAGATAAGATGTCGATTCACATCTCGAACTATTCCATTCAATGACACACATGTCTACAATTCACCCCCTAACACTTCAATAACTGGATCGGGCGGTGAATCGGGGACCAGATTAGTCGGGCTAGGGCTGAGGAACCACAAGGACTTAGCAGCCAGAAGTTTCTTCCTCTGCAAACAGGGGGGACCGTACACCCTCCCAGCAAAGCAAGGGGAAGCATCGACAATGTTAACCTGAAGCAGACCGGAGTCCAGCGGCGCACTGGGCGGCGATAGAGAGGATCGATTGGAGTAGATCTGAGAAACTAAGTTGACTCGATTGAATCTGGCGATCATACGCGAATTCCGAATTTGGGCAAGTGCGCCGGGTTTTAGATACTTGTGAAACGACTCGGAACGGGAGTTGCCGGATCGGTGAAAGGTTCTGGATCGGCGATTCATGTTGCAGAGGGGAATCGGAGAGAGGAATTAGGGCTTGGGAAAATGGAGGAGCGAGATTGGGGATTTATGGAGTGTGGAGTGGGCGGGAGGAGGGGCTTTGAGGGGAGGGGCGGGAAACAGGTGGAGGGAAAATAAAATGGGAACAGAGAGATCGTATATTTGGCCTTTTGAAAGTGGGGCTGTGACTGGGAGTGGCGCGGCCCGAGCGAGGGATTTTTTTTTTTTTTTTTTTTTTTGCCTCTCTGTCCCTGACCTAGTTTTCATGTGATGTTGACACGTGTCCGTTGTTTTCTATAGCATTTATGAAATTTCACCTTCTTCCAGTTATGTATATATCTAAAGAATCTTTCATTCTCCATATTCAATAATTTTAAATTTAAATTACAAGTGTATAGTTTCTGGAGTTACTAAACTTTTTAATAACTTTATAAATTTTCAGTTTTATATCTAATAAGTCTCTATATTTTTTTAATAATACATATGGAGAGGTAGAGATTTAAATTCGTAACTTTTATGATATATGTCTTAATCATTTGAAGTATGTTCATATTTACACAAAATGTCAAATAGGTTAAATACTAAAAGAATAAAAGTCTTGAAACTTTTTTCCCGAGAGTTAAGGAACTAAATGTGTAATTCAATTTAATTTTAATTAAACACTTACTTGGTTATATTAAATTTTAAATTTAAATAGTATTTGGAATCTTAAGTTACCCACTGACATCAAACATTTCATATCGAAAATCACTCCATGATTGCTTACCTACAATGGCTATTATGCATTGAAAATTAATTGATGTCCCATGTGTAGAAGCAGGGTTGAAAATGTTGCTCATGTGATTTTCGGCTGTAAGCTTGCTAAGGAAATTTGGAAGCGATTCCCACTCCTCCCTAAAAATAAGTGGGAAAGGAGTGGTCAGCCGCCTACTTCCCTCCTCTCTTTCTCCTCTCCGTGGTATATATTTTCTTTTAGTCATTCGATTGAATTTTATAAGATGGTATTTCTCTCTGATTTGTTTCGATTCTTCCGTGATTTCTTTTGTTTCAAATAAGTAAGAAGTACTGATCTAAATATAATAGGGATCTCTCTTACTGTTGTGGAGGCGATTTTCGGAGAAGATCCTTCTTCCCAGCTTGTTTCTGTGATGACAAACGGTGGCCGGATGTCAGGATCTCCCCATTGAATGTTGATAATGTTGTTGCAGCTGAAAAAATTAAAGGCAACATTGTTATATGTATGGTACGTGGTCTCGTCATCTGGATGTTTTGAAGAGTTATTAGGCACAGAATTGGAGACGACACCCGCATGCGATCTCTTGTGATGACTTTTCATCTTCGTTTCATTTTGGTTCATAAAACTTCCAATGGCAAGGAAGATTGAGCACGAGGTGGGCCACCACGGAGGTGCAACTACAATCTATTCGAACACCATTTTGTAATATGGAGAGGTTATCGGTCTTAATTGTATTAAGATTCTGACTAGCATGATTTGGGGAATTCGTCTAATCCTTCCTTACCTGTCATAGTGGATAATAAGACAACTTGGAATAGAGGTGGCGTAATTGGCAAAAAGATAGAAATAAATGAATTATTTAATACCTTCAGAGATCTCGAGAGGTTGGGGTGCTACGAGAGAGTCRATTGAATGGAGTTCTAACATCTCTTGGTAGAAAAAAATATGGCTGGAAGAAACACCTATATGATGGGTAAAATTGAATGTAGACGTCGCCTATCAATAAATCGATTAAGTGATGAGGTGAATTATTGCTTCAATGAATAACAAAATCAAGGTTCTTAAAGTCGTTTACATGTCGAATTATTGGTTGATGAGAGTTTGAGATTGACAAATAGGCTTAGGATTACCAACTAACCCTCATGATTTTGCTTTTGGTTTCGCCTAAATGATCTCGTACCAATAGAAATAATTGTTTTCTYTTACACATCATAAATTACCTATTTTCTAACCATGTGGGACTTTGTTTGTACTCTTTTACAAAACCAATACCCTGGAATCATGGTTTCATCCAATTTATGTATGTACCCAGAGTTTTCAACATGCTCGCCAATTGTTTAGAACATGATGCAACTTTATATAAATCACTCATTCTACTATCACTTCCAAACACACTCCTAAACTATGGCATAACCAAGATACTTGTTGGCTTTTTGGCATTGAAAAGGACGATAGCATTTCAAATATAATATAGGTGGTATTTATTAAAAAAAGAATCAAATATACGTACTGAATAAAACAATCAATCATGTCACATTTATGAGCACAATTTTTTCTTGTTTATATAATAATGGTCAAACATGGTATTTTTGTCTAACTAAATCATAGTTGACAAATAGTCAACATGAATATAAATCAATACTAATTATCTCATGCTATTCTTCTATGTTCAAACTTCTATGGACTTAATTTGTTTTTCTAAAAAACCACATAATAATAATAAGAAAAGTGAAAAATGATAAATAAATAATAAACGAAAAAAGGTTGTAAAAATCGACCCCACATTTGTTATTCTTGCAAACCGTATGGCTTCCACTTGTAAATGGTGGTGGCTTAATAGCATGTGTGGCCAACGAATCCTTTACGGAAAGAAAAAAAAGGCCGACAGATATCTTTTTACTTTTTACTTGTTTTCAAATAAAACATGTACTTAAAATTCTCGTGTCTCGAAAGTTAAAAATTGGAAAATGCATTAACAATATCATATTCCATTAATAGAAATCACCTCCCTAACTCAAGAAAGATTCTTTTATGCTAGTACATGAAATACGTTTAAATTAAAATTATAAAAATATGATTAAAAACTGTTTTCCAATTAAGTGATATGAAAATTTGGAAAACAATATTCTTATGTTTTTTCAATATTTTCAAATTTTGAATTAATAATATTAATTGATGTCATAAACTCATTTTATTTTTGTTAAAATTAAAACAGGTAAAATATAATCATATTTTAAAATCATAATTATACAAAAGTTATAACAATGAATACAACTTTGTTTTTCATTAAGTGTATTACTTTCAGATTTATATTGTATGATCACCAAYCACCCTGACATTTTCCCCTCAATGTTACTTTTTTGTTTGTTTGTTAAGATACTATTTTGATTAATGTACGTATTTGATTCATTTTGATTTCTATACCTTCAAAATGTATATTTTGGTATATGTACTTTCAACTCTCGTTCATTTTAGTCACTGTACCTCCAAAATATTCGTTTTGGTTTCTGTAATTTTAAAAAATGACCATTTTGATCCCTTAAAATTTTACTGTTAATCTTATTTTTTCTATCGTAATTCTAACGCGACACTATACTCAATATATTTATTGCAATGCAATATGAATTTATATTAAATTATTTATATTATGCGTAGAATTTATACTAAAATATTGTAAATAAAAATAAAGAAATTGTTACTTTTTGAAAGTACAACTTGTATAGATACCAAAATGAATATTTTGAAAATACAAAAATTAAAATCAACAATGCTGAAAGTACATGAACCTAAATAGTATTTTAACTAGAATAACATGCCAGAGTTATAATTTAGACCTTCGTTATGTGTCGACTAATTAAACAATGTTGAGGTTAGGGATGTGACTTGTTATTATCTAAGTATATTTATCACTATATTAGAAAAATTTTCAAGAAAATAAAATGGCTAGAATCACTTTTAGTAAAAAAGAAGTCATAACGACCATAGATCAGTAGTAACTGACATATATCTCAAACTATGGATTGTGAATTCGATCCCTATTTCCACRTAGCGTAACTAAAACTCTCCAACTAGTGAATTTGATCCCTATTTCCATATAGTGTAATTAAAACAAACTTTTAGTACAGAGGAAGAAAAAGGAAAACACTTGGATATTTAATTCTGTACTTTCCATGATTTGAACTTTGAAGAGTAGAAAACACCAAAGAGTCCAGGCCCAGGCCCAGGAGGGTTGAGAAGAGAGAATCAAATTGAAAACCCTAGCCGACCGGCGATGACTTTTCAAACAAACCGAGCTGCCACAGTCGTACAAGGCATTTTCTTAATAACAGTGCACCTTTAGCGCCATTCTTTCTAATTTCTATGGATAACTGCAACTATTCTTTTGGCGTTAACGCACAGTGGCGTCCAAATGATAAGACTTCAAAAGAAAAACATAAAATACACACGCACACATATTTTGGTAACAATTACAACTAAAATAAAGGAAAATGGGTTGAGATGTCTAAAAGAATATATTCCTTTTTGTTTTTTAATTATGAAAGAGCTAATATGAATATAGTCCGATTAGTTAAAGACACTCATCTTACAAAATCGAATTTCCACCYCACATATCATACTGAACAAATATTAAAAAATAATTTTGTTTGAAMGAAAGAAACTTTTAATTGGTCACAAATTTCGTTGTGAAGAAAAACTTGAGAAAAGAATGTACGTGGCAACATGAACATSGAGTAACACCTGTTCATTTCATTGAGGTCCAAGGTTCAAATCTTCCTACTTCAATTTATTATATTAAAAAAAATATATATTTTGTTTATTTTTAACATTTTGAAAAACTGCTCTAAAAATTCCATTATAAAATAATAAATACAAAATCGTGCTATTCTTCAACTACTATTTTAAGTTTTCTATAGTTGACTATAATTTTAAAAGCTTTCTGAAATTAGATCATTAAAAAACAGCAAATAGACACGATTAAAAAAAGAAAAACTAAAGATGCTAAATTCGCTACCAGACGGAAATTGTATCGAGGAATTGATAATATTGAATTCACAATTAATTTAAATTTAAGATTTAATTAGATGGAATGAAAAATTAAAGGTTAAAATTAATCGAGTATACTGCGATAGTACGTGGCTTCACCCGATTATTTGCAATTCCCCAAAATCTGTAGAACCGGATCCCTCTCCATTGCAGAAGATATTCCATATTTTACCAATTGACTGAGCCCTCTGCGAAACTTCCACAGCTTGGCCCAGCACTTTAA